GAAAAATCACCATCCTACTTCTAATCATTGTAATGATGACTAACAATCCCAGTCCCAGTTACTATTTTGACAGTCTTTCACCTAAATAAAGACCATACTTCAAATACAAAATAGGAACACACAATTCTAAAATAATACCTAGACAAGACTCACTTGACTAAGAACAATACTTGGAGTTACTTACAAGCTTCCTCCAAGAACAATACTCATTCTTGTTTCACAGCTTCGAGGAGAACGTAGTGACCATCTCACAACCCGAGTGGTTCACTTACACCAACTCTCCTAGAGAGTAGCTAAAATGAAAAAACCCTAATACTTTTACATACTAGACCTGTACCAAACTAGGTTACAAATACTTCTATTTATAAACCCTTTCCAACCGGATTTGGGTTCAGAAACACAACAGAGAAGTTGCACAAGGTCTGCATATTATCCTCCAAGATTATTGGTCTTCAATCAAGAGTTTCCTAAAATGTCACCATATTTAGAAACCATGTAAATCTTCAAAAACCAACAATAAATTTATTCTGACTTGTCAATCTTGGATGCCACAAAAGCTAACTGAATATTACCTAACTATTCAGTAATTTATAAATCACAATAACTGAATCCACACTGTCAATTGTAGCACACCTGATGTCCTATACTTCTGGTTAGGACATCCCATTCGACATGTTCAAACAGCAAGTTGAAACAACTTCCAAATTATAACAATCCAAATGTCCCGCTCTTCTGGTTAGGACATTGTATTCGACATGTTGAAACTGCAATTTAAAATATTTTCCAAATTGCAAAACTGTAACAGACCATATGTCCTATACTTCTGGTTAGGAAATAACAATCGACATGTTAAATATGCAAGTTGAAACATCTTGTTCAACATGTTGCTGCAAAGTTGGTTTTACCAAACATCATGACAATCATAATTTCAAATAAATAACAAGAGTTTTGAAAAGGAGGGAGAACATTTTGAAATTAAAGAAAATAAGAGGAGATGAAGGGACTATCCTATGTACACAAAGTAAAAGCTAAGGAAAATAATGGTCTTACCAAGCAAAGTCTTCATTTACAAAAATTAGGCAGAATAACAGCTGAACAAAGTTCAAAATGTAAGCTCTGAAACTGAACTTTTGTAGTCTGAATTAGGGATCGATTTGTTGGTTTTTGTGATGGATAGTTTGTATGGTGATTATGAATGATGATTTTGAAAAGAGTTTGGAGAAAGGAAGCTTGGAATAATGAAATTGGTTTTCAAATTTCTAGCTTCGAATGAGAATTTAGCAGGGTGATTATGGATGTCAAAAGCTTGGGAAATGAATTGAGAGTGGTCCTCTATTTATAGGAGAGTGAATGGTGATGAGAATTGAAAGAATTTATGGGAAATTATGCAAACCAAGCTAACTCGATGATTACAAAAAGTGTGACTCCATGTGTATCAAACTTATCCAAACATGTGTTTCAATGTTTAATCAAGCTTAAGCAACTTTGTTAAACATGTTTAAATAAAAAACACACAGCGAACTGGTCATTAGAAGCCATATTAAGTAATTTGTAATCTGACTTGGTGAGAAACTTCAGCTTCAAGGTACCAACTTTGAATCCATGGGGCAAGCTATTCAGGAGGCTTTATGTTATGATTCTTGATTCATTTGAAACACCATATCACAATCATTAAAATGTGCCAAGGAAGTATTCATTTGGACAATTGAGCTGGAAGTTTTGTCCATTTGAAATCATGAAAAGAAAACTGATTTTGGTACTTAGAAATATTTCTAGGTGTTAAGCTTCATAATGACCTATAATGTTTTGCAACCTTACAAGCCCTTCCCCTAAAAATTAGCTCTTTATTATTGAAGATAAAATGAATTATATTCTTTGAATGGAATCATGGAATTGGAGCCACTTAAAAATCATAAAAAATGAGAGAGTTATGACTTTTGGTAGCTGATGAATGATTCTTGAGAAATCCATAAATGACCTATAATATTTTCACCAAATACATAACTTTCCACACCCTTTTAGAACTTGATCCTTTAATCAAAGTTGTAGTAGACATTATCAAGTTCATTGTAACAAATAATGAGCTCAAGGAGATAAAATTTAATCAAGTTATGATCCTTTGAAGTAATATCAGAAATTCAAGAGCTTTTTCAAAGGACTTGTAATCTTCTTATAACTTTAATGATATTCCACTAAAAATTGACCTTAGATCCTTGAAGAGAAGTCATTAAGTTTAAAGAGAATCATGGCTTTGGAATCAACTCAAAATCTCAAACATTGAGCAAGATATTATTTTTGGAAGTGAACCAACCCTTACTCAGAAAGTACAAAAGTGACTTGTAACCCCTTTCAACACTTGATGATTTTACTTGCACAATTGGACCTTGTCATGTGAAGATAAGTTGTTGTAGATGTTGATAAAAATCCATAGAAAAAGAACCATTTCAAAATATCGAAAATATAGAGAATTATGCACTTGTGATCATAGAATCAATGACTTATTCAAATTAGGTATAACTACTTGAATCAACTTTGCATCTTCTGAACTTTCCTTGCAAAATAAGGAATGATGAATCACATTAGACCTTGAAATGATGTTATTTTTAAGAAAACTTAATGATGGGGCTTATATCCCAATTAAACTTGTTGAAGAATGCATGGAAATAAACATATGAACCTATGAATCTTCTTGATGAAACCAACAACTCTCTTTGAGACAAGTTTGATCTATGAATTGAGAGTAGTATTTAGACCAAATAATTTCAATTCCCTGACCCTAGCCTTGAAATTCAAGCTTTTGAAATCCATTGAATAACCATTTGGCTGAGGATCACCCTTCAAAACCCTAGGTTAGGTGGTGAGATTGTGTTAACACCTACACGATTGTGGTACTCCACAGGATCCACTTATGTTTGTTCTAATCTAAGTGTGTCTAAGAGTCTAAGTCTAAAGCTTAATGTTGAAAAGAAAAGATGCTAAGAGGGAATGCATGCAAAAGAGAAAAACACAGGGAAACGAAGGAAATAATTACATAGTTCGCTCGACTGAGCCCCACGACCAGATGCCTATGTGTCCCTTTTAAGGAATCAGAGCATCGTAGTTCAGCTCAAAAGTTTCTATTGGATGCAATGTTTTTTATGAACAATGCTGGTGAAGCATGTCCTTTTTGAAAAGGTTTTAAAAGAAAAAGTCCAAAGACAAAAAGGTTTGCATTGGTTGGTGAGTTTTCCCTTGAAAAGGATTTTGCAATGTTAGAGTGTTTTGAGAAGTTTGAAAGAAAAAGAAAGACCTTTGTTTTAATAAGATGCAAAAGAAGAAAGAAAAGTCTAAGGGGAGACTAGCAAAAATAGGCCTAAAGTTGTCATGCAATGTTGATCATATAGTTGAGGATAAGAGAGGGGAACATCTACCCAATGTTGGCATACATGGATACAAGCCTAAGGTCTATTCAATTCAAACTTAGAAAAGAGTGAATTGAAGATCCTATGGGGAGCATACGAGAGGAGAGTCTAATAAAGAAGGCAGAAGGGATAACAAAACATCACACAAAGAGATGACAAGACATCAAGAAGCTTGTATCAAGTATATATGACAAAACATCTAGCATGGATGGAAAAACATCCTGAAACATGTATTAAGTAGAGATGACAAAATATCTAATAAGGATGGCAAAAAATCATGAAACATGCATCAAGATACGAGAATGAGAGATAAAGAGAGGTATGATGATTCCTAATGGAGAAGTTCCGTTGACTCTTCAATCTGCACGAGATAAGAAAACTCTACTAAACACCTCCTCGAATTTCCTCAATCAACCAATGATTAGGCATACTCGAGTTGCATCAACAATCAATTGTAAAATTATAGCACGAGTGTCCACAAGATAAATAGAGTGCTGGGTGTAGTGGAGTTGAATTAGGTTATGATTAACCAAGGGCAAAACTTGATTAATCTCGGGAGAATGGCCATGCCCAAACTCAACTATTAGACCTTTTAAGGAAATGCTTGGTGTATAGACCAAGGAGAGAGAAAAGAGTTGATTTGATGCATAAGATAGAAATCAAAAGCCCATACAAGGTGGCCATATGCATGCTCCTACAAAGTGAGGACCAGAGTGGTGCTAGTATTCTAAATGGCCAATTGGAACAATTGATCGAATGGTTGTCAATGTAGAAAGCCCAGGACCAAGCTATGAAATATGTGCAAGTGTGCATGTGTAGGTGGATGCCATGTGCTCTAATTGGATGATGCATGCATAATCAAGCAGTATTTGAGCATATAAAGAAATAACAAAGAAATAAAATTATAAGCTATTACAAAGCATATGGGAATGGGGGTACAAGTTTATGAATGGGGATGTATCGAATCGATAATACGATTAAAAGTCTAAATAAACAAACAATAAAACCCAATTTAATTAATTAATTAACTAATTAAATTGAACCATCTTATTTAAAAAATTAATTATCAAAATAAATAATTCTATTAAATATTATTTTCCAATCTAATTAATTATATAAAATAAATTATTTTTTTATTTTTTATCAATAAAATAAATCACAAAACAAAATAATACAAAATATATGGAGAAAAAGGGAATTCAGGGGGTGCTGAATAACAAGGAGAGTCTTGGCTCAAATAAAGGGAATTCGCGAACCCAGCGTCAGCAGCTCCAGTGGGTCCATGGTGAGCTGCACATTCCTTAGTGTTGGATCAGATCTTTGAAGATCTGATGGTGAGAAACATCAAGGTGCACAGTAAGCATTGAGGCGTCACACATAGGATCCGGATTGGGTCCGTGTGATCCTATGCATGGCTTTAGCGAAGGTACACCATGAGGATGCATTTCTGAGCGCTTGATGGTGATGATGAAGACCCGTTTGTGATCTTATGGTGATGATGAGAGATGCATGGTGAATATTGTGAGATAACTGCACAGAATCATAAAAAAAATTAAACATGTGGTGACAAATGTCACCACCGTATTAGTCTCTTAATCTATGATCTTATTTTATTTCCGCCTCTCTCTTTATTCTCAAAATAGCTCGCCGGAAGAGACAACGAAGCTACCATGCCGGAAATCTCCTCGCAACGACGACTACGGCGATGGTCCCCAATCTTGCTTCGATCTTCAATTTTTTTTATATTTTCTTGCTTGCTTCTATCTTCTGATCAAGAATCTGGAACTTGATTTTGTAGGTAACCATCGGTTGCATTCAGATCTAAAAGGGATTTTCGGAAACCCTTTCGCTATGATGTTGAAAATCGGAGATTATGATGCATGATTGATGATGAAAAAGCTGCATTTGAGTTTACTTTGGTGAGATATTTCCGATTCTTGATATATATCGCTCTTCCTCTTCTCTTTCTCTATGTTTTTGAAGGGTTTCATTTGAGGGGAGATGATGATACATCCCATGGTTTTTCTTTCTTGATATCTTGTTGAGGTTTTCATATTCTTTGATTATTTCTGAGATCTGAAGGGGTTTTTGAATGAGGAAAGTGATGTTGAGAGAGCAGAGAGAATTTTGTAGATTTATTTTGGGTTATTCTTCAGAATGTGAAGAATGAGCCATCTCGAGTGATAAATTATGTTATATAGTTTGGTTTCCCTGAGAAAGTTAGTTTGGGATTGAGACAATCTTGGCCTTAGATCCTGAATGTTTGTTACAAGGATTGGGGGGTGAGAATTGCATCTGAGTTTTAGCTTGCTTGGGAAGTTTTTGCTGAGCTGGAATATCAATTGAATTTTTACTCTGGGTTTTGTTTCCAGATATTTTGTTGTTCTGATTTTATGTTATAATATGCTGAGCTGACATACTGATAACATGGATGTTCATCTTGAATTAATTTTTTGAACTCGTTTATTATGGATGTAGAGCTGCTGGTAATTTTTGTATTGGTGTAGGGCGTTTGTTTATTTTTGTTATAATTTTCTGATATATTGCTATTATTGTGATTCTTCTTGTTGTTTGGGATGGAAATGAGATTTTTGTACTTGTTTTTACTACACTCAATGTAACCATGATGTTATTTTACTCAGTGCCTTGTGTAGTACATTTCTTTTTGAGTCTTTTATTATGAACCAAGATTGGTCTTTCTTTTGATTTGTAGTAAATGGAATTTGTCCCATGATTAAACTTTGAAATTCTGATTTTGTTATGAAACAAATGTATAAGGCCTTGATGTTGCTTGAATGTGATTGAAAACTACCCTTAAATTATGATTCCTTCACAAACCCTCATGATGAGATTTAGAATAAAACTTCTTTGAAAATACTTTGTTCTTATTCAAGTTTTGGTTTCACAATCACTAACATTTCACTTTCTCTTATTTCATGAGGTTAAGTTGATGGATGGAGATGGAAAGGCGGAAAGGTGGCATGGCTTGGAACTTTGAAGGATTCGCAAAGATGTAAGCTTAAGAGGCATTGGTTCAACTTGGATTTAGGCACTTTTTAGAATGGTGTATTCTTTAGAAAAAACTCTTGGGTAACCTTTATTAAAAACTTTTATAAACCTATAATTTTTGTGAAATTGAACTTTGGACATCTTGGATAAAAACTGTAACTTGACTTGTAAGTGTTGAAAATATGAATTCTTCTTGTAATATTCTAAATTGAGAACCAAAGTTATGAGAATTTTGAGTATTCTTTGTAATTCGAGATTGGGAATGTCATAGAATTTGAATTACCTTGTGATTGCATTAATGACGAGTCTTGAAAGTTAATTTTATGAAAACTTGAAGTCTTTCTTTGTAATAGAGCGTGGCATCAAGAATTTATACTTATGCTAAGATTAAATTTGTCTCCATGTAGAACCTTAATCTTGAATGAATTTTGAAAGAAATCAATATGAGGTAGTGAACTTGAAATACTTGAAATGCTTGGATAAAAAACATGAAACTTGTAATTTTTGAATGCAACTTGTAACGAGTTAAATTTGATTATTGGTGTCAAAGAGAAGTCACCATGACAATGTGAATTAATATAGGCCTAAAAACCAATACATTCTCTTGTAACCTTTGACAGATAAATGTTAAACCAAGCAAACTTGCCCTTGAATGAAAACAACGAATCCCAAATTAATTCATATTCAAATATAAACCAAAACTTGTGCGTCAAGAAACAAGTACTAGAAGGAATGAAGCCTTTAGCATAAATAATATTTAAACTCAACACATTATGGCTCACACTTTGTATCTTAAGAAAACAAAATCCTAACAAGGAGAAATAATGCCTCTTGAGGAGAAAAGATCTGCGATAGTTGGCCATATCACAATCCTTATTTTGGAACATAGTGAAGAATATTTTGAATAATGAAGTCTCGTATGATAATGAGATTAAATTACTTCATGAATTAGATTCACACAAGCTTCAAGTACTTCAAATGGCCCACACCCAAATCTCAAGAGAAAATCAGGAGAACAAATGATTCACCTCACTACATTGCCAATTTATAATTCTCTGATAAAACAACGAATCAATTTCAGATGTCATGAGGCAAAAAAAGCCCTGGTATTCTGAATGATCAAAATAATGAGGACATGAAACCCATCTTGGACTGATTGTCAATATAATCATTTTCCACAACATGAAGAAGAACCATGAAAATAAGACTACCTTGATCCCATCTGAAATGCATGAATATGTATGATGAAACATAAGCCATATAAGGTAAAATGAAGAGGGCAAATTTTAGGGTGCAACACTAATATAAATAATAAATCACAGTTATGTGAAGCCGTTCACTCAGAAGAACGAGACAAAAAGTGTGGTAAATTGTTTGAGCAAAAAAGAAACTCGTAGCTACCTCTTCGAAGTAAGCTCGGAAGGTCTGAAAAGGATGAGATGGAGTTGGTGCTTAGGTGTCAAGGCTAAATTATGTAATACATCAGGTAGCTTCAGATGATTCCCATGGAGGATTTCGGGTGGATAATTGAAGTTGAAATGAAGACAAAAATGAGAAAACAAACTTTTGATTTTTGGAGAGCTTCAGGTTCTATGGAGGAAGAATTTCTTTGGATCTTGAGGCTTGGTTTTGAGTGTATAAGTGATCTCTATTTTTAGAAGAATGAGTGAGGTCATGGTAAGTGCAAAATTCCTCTTCAATCGTGTGAGTCAATCTTGGAAAATTCTAGATTTAAACTGTGTGATAATGAAGCATGGAATGTCTGATTTTCTAAGAAATTTAAGACGTTTTGTGTTGTACCAAATGTGTTTCATAATGATAAACAAGTTTTAATATGTGAAATATGGTCCCATTTAAGCTTTAGGTCATTTCTAAATATAGGTCCTTCAGTACAAACAAAGTCAATGCCACCATGTTCATGCTTAGGTCAACTGCAATCAATTCGTTCGTTTCTTGATTTTCTTATTGCTAACTGATCTTTTCATGGAGTAGAACACAATGCAAAAAGAAACACTTCAAATATATGCTTGATGTGAAAATGGTATGATTTAAAAGTTGGGGTTATGGAACTAAAAAACACGCCTGGCATTACGTCAAACATGTTATGAACTAGTTTTGGGCACAAATGGCCTCCAACATTTGAGGGACTTAGAGCTTGAATTGATGGTTGACCTATGAAAGTAGTAGAGGATAAAATTATTGACATCTGGCTCAAAGAAGCGCCCATAAATATTGAAAATTGAAGAAGTTATAATATTTGGACAAAAGAGCATCCCCCACTTGATTTTAGGTCAAACCATCATGTTCCAACTTGTCATTTTTTATGTTTTCTTGCATTCCAAGGCACAATGAAGATCGTATGAACTCAAAATGATGTATAATTGTTAGAACCTTGATTAATTTTAATGAAACCTTGAGAAAAATGATGAATAAATCATTGAAATAAAAACATGAACCTATCTCGAGTAGACTTGCAAACCAAGTACCAAACTTGAACTTCTTTTGGTTAATTACTGTTGAATGAAGTTTGTAATGAATGTGACGTAAGATTATAGGTCATGTCTTGAATAATAAGCCTTGTTTACCACTTGTTGACCTTGACTTTGACTTTGGGAATCAAAACCCTAATTTAGAAACCATCTTGATCTCTCGATGAAAAAGCCCTACCTTGCAAAATAAGAAAAGGAAACAACGCATATTTTTTATTTTGAATAGGGTTAGTAAAGCACAAAAGTGAGGAAACACAAGGATAAAGTAAAATACAAAGGGTGCTTGGTGATCTCTGACACAACAACCCAAAGACTAAGAGGTTAGGAGGTTACAAAGTTTGTGATCTTGATAAAATCAAATAATATGATTTGTGGGATCTTAGGGGTAAATAGTAGGGTATGACAGATGTCCCTATTTATGTTTCTTCTATCTGGAGATATGAATATTGGAATCTTCGACTCGACGAGATTGAAGATACTTAAATTCATAAGAACTAATTTTTGGCCCTAAGATACCACAAGAAATGCTTATGATATGTATGCAAATGATAGGACTCTGCAGGGAAAACTCTATTGGAGACCAAACTCTGCGTAGACTAACTACAACTTTGATTTTTCTAGAGAGAAAACTAAAAGGGGAAACCACCTTGGAAAACACGACTCAATAGGGAATAATACAACCATGCGGGAAACTATGCTTGGAGAGGAATCAAAGCAAAACTGGTGTAGAAAAAGCACAACAAACATGCATCAAAGCAAACATCGCTAATTGTGGTGGGGAATCACACTTCGAGAAATGATTAATGGTTCTACCAGAAAAATCCTGAGTAGAACAAATGCAAGGAATTATTAACTCTACTAGGGAATAATCTCTAAAAGGGGGGTCACTGACTCTACTAGGGAAAACACTCTAAGTAGTTAGCAAGGAAAGACATTACTACCAACTCATAGATGAAGGCAACAAGTTCAAAAATATCGACTCATGGATGAAGGTGAACTACCAACTCATGGACGAAGGTAGAAGAAAAAAACACACCAACTCATAGACGAGGGCGAGGAGGGGATTAATACACTAACTCATAGATGACGGTGTGCTACTAACTCTTGGATGAAGGTAACAAAAGATCAATGCATCGACTCATAAATGGCAGTGAACTACTAGCTCATGGACGATGGTATAGGAACAAGATGCACAAACTCATTGTCCAAGGTGAAGAAAATATCGTGCATTCACTAATAGATGATAAAGGACTACCAACTCACAGAAGAAGGGAGTAAAATATTACATTGATAATAAGATTCCCAAAACATCTAGTATTTCACCGAGAATGGGGATCGACGTCTTCTTTAACCAAGTCTTACAATTGGAAAGGGTAACAAACTTCCTAAAACTTCTGGTATTCAACCAGGAACGGGTCTTAATTTCTTCTTTAACCAAGGATTCCCCTAAGAAAGGGTAACCGACAAGCTTCTCAAATAAAGAGACTGCTAATTGCTGAGGATTAAGGTTTTAACTTAGATCGCAATAGGCTTCTCAAATAAAGAGACAACCACCT